GGCTGGTGAAGGATAAGGTGAGCTGTCTACATTATATTCAGTCATTCCTTCATTCAGCAAACAGTGAATAAAAACGTGCTGTGCACTAGGCTCTAGAGAAAAAAATAGTGAGATGGGGAGACACAGTCCCTCTTCTCAAAGACATGTTGCAGTTGGGATGAAAGTGCTAAAAATCAAACTAACAAAAGGCATACTGAGGTAAGTGCCAGAAAGAATAGAAACAGAAAAGAACTGGGGGAGCTCCCTAAGGTCTGAGGGGATTCCTTTTAGGTGAGCTATCAAGAATGAGGAAGCCAAGTGAGAGTGCCAGTAGGTTGTTCCCTGCAGAGGGAATGGGGGTGGGGGTGGTAAGGCCTGAAGGTTGGAGAGTGGCCGGAGGTGCTGCTAAATGAGGTAGAGTGGTTTGTGATGAGACTGGTGAGTATGGTAGGGACAGGTTACTTGAGGGGACTTTAAAAAGTTATTGGAAAATGGAATTAAAGCATATGAGTTTATTTTGGTGCAAAAACATTTTGAAATTTACACATGTTTTTTCATAACATGCATTCTCCGTGAATTTTTGAAAACCCTTCATATGCCAAGTTGACCTTGGTAGAAAGAATTTAGATTTTAACACAAATGCAATGGAAATGCATTGAAGAAACTTATAAGCTGTAAAATCCGGTTTATATTTTTTTAAACTTTTATTCATTTATTCATTTAATTTTAATTTGACCATAGAGACACATAGAGAAGCAGAGAGAGAGAGAGAGAGAGAGAGAGAGAGAAGAAAGCCCGCCATGTCTAGGACTCGAACCGTGGTTGGCCATGTGGGAGTGTCCAGCACCTTAACCACCATGCCACCTGCTGGCCCCGAATCTGGTTTATATTTTAAGAGGTGCTCTCTGCCATGTGCAGAATAAAAGTTAGGAATGAGGCAAAAGGGGGATATCTCTATTGGCTGGGATAACCGGGTATTTGGGGGACAGAATAGGGAAAGGAAAAGCCCCAGAATGAGTCTCTATGTTTTTTTGTTTTGTTTTGTTTTCTTAAGGTAACCTTATTTACTGAGATGAGCAGATTTAAGAGGTATAGTTTTGGGTACTGTTTTTGATATATCTATTAGAGAGCTGAATGGAGATATCAGGAAGGTAATCTATTAGGTTGTCAGAAAAGTCATGGTGAATTTTTCTATGCAAAAACGCATCATGACCTTCCCAGTGACACAGAAGTACTCAAGGAAGAGGTCAGACCAAAGAATCAGCAGCATGTAGTGTTTAAGCTTGCAGGAAGGATCCTAAAAGCTTTCTTTTGAAGCCAGATAAAAGTCGCACCCATGCGGGGTACTATTTTTTACAATGGGGAGTGTCACAGGCTGACATGTTACCACTCACTGAGCGTTCCTCAGGTTCTGCAGGACAGGCAGTGGAGTTCTTCGGGAATGCTTGTGTGCCCTACTTTTGCCTTTCCTTTCTTCACCATGTGTAGGTTGCTGACCATCGACTGAAGCTCCAGGAATTAGAGGGTCTCATAGCAAACCTTGGAACTGGGGATGAGGTGGTGACCGATAAAGCCTTTGAGGATCGACTGAAGGAAGCAGAGAGAGAGGTCATGGATCTCCTTCGCGAGGCACAGGATGTCAAAGGTACACATAAGTAAACAGTGCTAACTTCCACTAGAAGGGCGAGTCTTTAGATAGATTTTTAACTTGTTTCAATGTGTAATTAGTATAGTTTTATAGTTTTGTTCTCAATTTTTAAGCTACTTATAGAATATGAGTTATTTTTTTTAAGCAATAGCTCACAAAACAACCAGTTAACTTAATGCTTTAAGATATAGTAAGCATAGGGACCAGCAGTTAGCATAATAGCTATGTTGCTGGACTCTCATGTAGCTGGCTATGATTCAAGTCCCGGACCTGGTGGCTTAAACTCAAGCCGGGCACGTGTGCGTGCATACCCAAGATTCTGAGAGGAGAATGGAGGAGAAGGAATTCAGGCGTGGCCATCCCCCCTGGGGGGTGATTTCTCGCTTTCTATCTCTTCTGTTTTTCTGGTGAGCGCGCCCGCGCTATAGAGGGGGAAAAAAAAAAAAAAAAACCTCTCAAAAAAAAAAAAAGATATATAAACATGAGGCTGGCAGGTGGCGTGGTAGTTGAGGCTTGAGGCTCTGGACTCCCATGTGGCTGACCACGGTCTGAATCCCAGACCTTGGGGCTTGCCTTCTCTCTCTTTCTGGTCAAATTTAATAATAATAACAAGAATAAAGTAAATAATTTTTTAAAGAAAAGAAGGGGTAAATATAAGGTAATTTTCCAACCCATCAAAAAATAGATGTTAAAATTGCAAGCATTTTATAGATCTTTCCATTACAAGGTCTCTTAAAATAGTTATAAAAATAATTAAAAGCATGGGGACAACAGGTGGTATGGTGGGTAAGGTGTTGGGCTCCCACGTGGCTGACTGCAGTTCGAGTCTTAGTCCCAGAGGCTTGAAAATCATGCCAGGTGCATGTGTGTGCGTGCCCAAGGTCCCAAGAAGAGAATCAGAGAAATGGGATTACAACATTGTCATCCCCAGGGGGATGATTTATTGCCTTCCCTCTCTCTGTTTCTCTCTAGTGAGCACATGTTCCCTATGATGAAAACCTAAAAAATTGAAAAATAATAATAATTAAAGGCATATGTTTTGGCAGGCATTATTTTTAAGTAACAAACTTGAACTTTGGTTTTTCCATAATCATAATGAGGGAATTTATGTTATATACGGCTTAAGAAGACTCTACTAAGGAAAAATCATGGTCTTCAAAAACTAGCTTAACAGCTAGCTACCTGATATATAACTCTTGGTATTTGCAGAAATAAACATTAGAAATTAGTGCCTGCTTGTGGAATTTTCTATATAATTAACAAACAAGTGTTCTAACATTATACAAAATATATGTTTTATATGTTATGTCCATTTTTTGGAATTGCCAGAGAGAGGGAGAGAAAGCACTCCCCAGTGGGCACGCACACCATTACCCCTTTCTGTTTGTCCCTTCTGTTGTGATTTGAGGCACACATGCGCGTGAGCCTGGTTTGTTTTTCAAACCACTAGGGCGGGAATTCAGACCATGGTGGGCTATGTGGGCTCTGGTTCCCTTGCTCATTGCACTATGGGGTTGGCTCAGTTTATGTCTACTTCTAAGGGCTTGTACAATTAGATCAGTCCTCTGCACATTAGCTGATGAGACTGATGAGAAGCAAAGAAGGTGACTTACGATTTAGAATGTATAATGTTTGTTTTAAAATACTTGACTTTAAAAGAAACTTTATAAACTTCGAATTTTAAAGTTATTTTAAATGACTTTTTAAGTCACATCAAGATTTTTTTAACTCCATGCATAAGGTTTTTCTAAACTTGGACCAGTACCTTTGTACACTTTCTGAGCACCTCCAGGCATGTGCCAGACACCAGGAAGGACAGGATGAATCAGACACTGCTCCTGCTGTCAGTGAGCCTGTCGCTGACCTGAGGTCTCTGCTTTAGATCTTTGCATTATTGAGATGCACGTGTTCTCAGATCCACGTGGTAAATGCACATTCAGATTAGCCAGCTTGCTGGGGCCAGGTGTGGCACGACAGTGGCATAACTGGACTCTCATGAGAAGGATCCTGGGCTCTTGTCCTGTGACCTCCCAGAACAAAGAGCATACTGGGCACATGTGTGTACCTGAGAACTAGGCCAGCCGAGACTGGGGATGGGTTATGGTGTGAAGACCCTGTTGGGGTTACCCGTCTCTCTCTATTTCTCTCCCTCATGAAAGAGATAAATAATTTTTTTTTTTAATGAGTGTATTTGGAAGCCAGCAAGTGACATGGTGGTTAAGGTGGCTAGGTACCCAACTGAGAGGTTCAAGTCTAGACCTGGAAGCCTGAAAAACACACTGTGTGTGTGTGTGTGTGTGTGTGTGCATGACCCAAATCCTGATAATAGAATGGAGGAAAAGGGTTTGCAGTATGGTCATTCCCCCAGAGATTGCTTTCTGACTCTCTCTCTCTCTCCTCCTCTTTCTCTCCAGTGAGCACATGTACCCCATAACAAATTGCGATAATAATAATAATAATAATAAATTACTGTACTTGGGACAGCAGTGATCAGCTTTACTACTGAGTTTATGAATATGTATTCATTTGAAGTTATGTAGAAAGGTCTCCCTGGCAGATGATAGGTCAAAAAAACTAAATATATTGTTTATTTCTTGTTGTATATGAATCTATTGTATAGAATTTTAATTTCATAAAGTTATTGAAATAGGAAATAATTAGATACCTGGTTTTAGCCAGTTTGATTTTTTTTCTTTTTCTTTTTCTTTTTTTTTTTGGAGTTTTTTTTCTATAGGGCGTGTGCACTCGCCAGAGAGACAGAGAGAGACAGAGACAGAAAGTGAGAACTCACCCCCCAGGGGGCATGGCCATGCCACAATCCCTTCTCCTCTCGGGATCTCGGGCACGCACACACATGCGCCTGGTATAAATTTAAGCCACTGGATCCGAGACTCAAACCGGGGTCAACTACATGGGAGTCTAGCCACATAGCCATTAGGCCAACTGCTTGTCCCAGCCAGTATGATTTTTATGAGAGGAATTATTCCATGGGGTGAGTTTTTAGAGTTTTCACTCCTTTTTTTGAGAGATTTTTGCTACAAGGTGCATGGACTTCCCAGAGAGATAAGAGCAATAAATAACTCCCCAAGGAAAATGGCCATGTTGCAATTCCTTCTCCTCCACTCTACTCCTGGGATTGTTGGCCATGTATGCACACACACATAGCATGAGTTTTAAGCCGCCATGGTTCGTCATGTGGGAGTCCAATGTCTAAACCACTAAGCTACACACTGGCCCTATGGGGTAAATTTAAGAAATTGAAGAAATAAAGTAAGAGATTAGTAGCTTATTTCATAGTGGTTTTTTTTCCCCCTATTTCATTCTTTAAATCATTAAGAAGAATTTAAACCTTTTCTGTTTTGGATAAATAAGTATTTTCTTTTTTTTTTAATAACAAATTTTGACCCACGTGTTTTTCCATTAATATATTCTCTTGAAACAATAAATTCACATCTGTCTCGCCATATACATTGAAGAATTTAATATGGGATTTTATTCCCCTTGTTTCTCCTTTTTTTAATTCATGAGAGAAAAAGGGAGAAAGACAAGGATAGGCATATTTTTTGAGAGAGAGATTTTTGCTATAGGGCATGTGTGCTCACCAAAGATACAGAGACAGAGAGACAAAAAGCATGAAATTACCCCCTAGAAGAGTTGGTCACGCCGCAGTCCCTTCTCCTCCATTCTCCTCTTGGGATTTTAGGCGTGCACGCACATGTGCCCTGGGTGAATTTAAGCCACCAGATTCAAGACTCAAATCACAGTTGATTACGTGGGAGTCCAGTGACATAATCATTATGCCATCTGCTGGTCCCTGGGATAGGCATTTTTAACAGGGTCTTTCTGAGTCATAGGTTCCCTTCCCCAGCCTCTCAGTTAGCTAAGATTCCAGGCATGTGCAACCCTGCTTAGTGTGTTCAGGTCAGCCTGGAACCTGAGGCCTCCCATGCCACCTCAAGCCTCCTGAGAGGTGGCGCTGCCTGTGCACCCCCAGGTGGGGCCATATATGGGATTACAGTCTTCAGTACCAATCAGTCCAGCCAAGAGCTGGAGTTTGGCACACAGCTATCTCCAGTGCCAGCACCATCAACACATGAGGATAGGTCAAGGGGGAGAAAGGAAGGTCAACCAGCGTTGACACTTGTCTAAGCTCCAAGCATCTGGACGTAGCCCCAGCTGTATATAGCTCTTTTCAGCCACAATTGCCACCTACTTTTCTGTGCCCAAGCCAGTGCTTCTGTTGAATGGAACCTCTCCTCTGATAGCAACCGTGCCCATCATACTTCCCCTTGAGCCACCAGAAAGGTGGGCACATAGCCATCAGAGAGCTCTTAGAGCATCAGGGTGGAGCTGGGGTTAAAATCCACTCAAGACCAGAGCTGTAGAGTTCCTGGCTGAACTTCTCGCTCAGGTTCAAAGTACCTAGAGTGAAAATGTCTTCATAATGATTTATCTCTTAAGACTACTTCCTAAGCATCCACTTGTGTTTATTCTACAGATTTGGAAAGAGATTATATGGGGCAGTTAGGGCTTACAAGGAGACACAAGGAATTGGAAGGCATTTGAAGTGAACCTACAAGTTATCTTATCTATTCCCTTTCAAGATACGATTGTTTCTCTGAAGAGCTGGACAGATCAGTATCTGTTGCATTCTTAAAATCTAAAGGGAAAGAGATTATATGGGGCAGTTAGGGCTTACAAGGAGACACAAGGAATTGGAAGGCATTTGAAGTGAACCTACAAGTTATCTTATCTATTCCCTTTCAAGATACGATTGTTTCTCTGAAGAGCTGGACAGAGAGATCAGTATCTGTTGCATTCTTGAAGATCTAAAGGGAAAGGGCTTGTATAACTTCACTGGCTGCTTTTGCTTCCTCAATCTAAAAGTTTTTCTATGATCTAAACTCTTTTTTATTTTTGTGTTTTCTTAAAAATCAGTAGAGTTTCTGGGACCAGCAGGTGGAATGGTGGTTAAGGTGTTGGATTCCCACATGCCTGACCATGTTTCGAGTCCTGGACCTGGCAGCTTACTTCTCACTTTCCCCTTCTCTCTCTTCCTCTGTCTCTTTGGTTGGATTAAAAAATAATCATAACAAATAAAATTAAATAAAGAAATAATTTTAAAAAAACCTTTAGAGTTTCAAAAAATTGTTTAACTCTGCAAGCAGGACTCTTTCCATGGCTGGATGGGAGTTGTACAGCACTGTGCAGGTAGCTGTTTCCAAGCCTGTAATGCCTCTTTGGTGATTTCAACTTTGACCTCTCATATATTTTGCATTCCTTGGAAAATTTAACCCCAGCCCCAAGTATCCTGATGAAATAAGAACTGGTCAGTTATGAATAAGAGGTACCTAATGGTTTTTGTACAGTCTTACATCTTCATGATGTGAGATTTTTTTTTTTTTGGAGAGGTTTTTGCTATAGGGCACGCATGCTCGCCAGACAGACAGAGAGAGACATAAAACAGGAAAGCACTCCCCAGGGGTGATGTCCACACTGCAATCCCTTCTCCTCCATTCTCCTCTTGGGATCTTGGGCGCACACGCACAGGTGCCCGCCGTGAGTTTAAGCCACCGGGTCCGGGACTCCAACTGCGGTCGCCTACATGGGAGTCCAGCGACATAGCCATTACACTGGTCCCCATGATGTGAGAATTTAAGTAAGGCCTTGTTTACACGGGCTTTATTTTATTTATTAGGACTCTAGTATGAGATTTAGGTGGAAATGGCATGATTAATAAAGAACCATTCAAAAGCAGAGGTTAACTTTAAAGAAATTACATCATGGGGCCAGCAGGTGATATAGTGGTTAAGGGCGCTGGGCTCCCACGGCTGACCTTGGTTTGAGTCCCAGACCTGGTGGCTTTCTTTCTCTCTCTCTCCCTCTCTCCCTCTCTCTCTTGCTCTCGCCCTGTCCCTCTCTGGTTGAATAAAAATAAATAAATAAAGTTAAATGAAATAATTCTTTTTTAAAAAAAAGAAATTACATGGATATGCTGTGGGAGGTGGGGGTGGCAGCAAGAATCTGTTTATTTGAAGTTCAAAATTAGAGTCATTTGCCATACTTCAGCATCTGTTTTGCACATAATTTTTTTTTTTGAATCTTGAAAAATTGCTCAGCTCTCAGGGCTAGTGGCATTTTTAACATTATATATTTATGATTAAATTGGCATGTACTAGAATATCAAAATCAAACTCACCGTCCTTCATTAAACATTCCCTGGGTGTCTTCTCTTTGCCAAGACCCATATAAGGTTGGGGTGGGAGGGTTATAGTGATGAGTAAGAGAAGAGCTCTGGCCTAGCTTGTAGTGTCCTGGACTAGGAAACTGGAAGTCATATGCCAACCAAGGTTCAGGGTTCAAGTCTCCAGCCAGGTCAGCCTGGCCAGGTACCTGCATGGTTCCCACAGCCCTGGTGGACTTGAGGACTGGAGGAAGGGGATTGTGGCATGACTAATCCCTGTGGAGGGTGCTCCACTCTCTCTTCCCCTCCCAATGCACATGCTCTATCATAAATGGAAAACAAAGAAGGAAGGTAGACAGGGAGGAAGGAAGGGAGCTTACGATCCAGTGGACAGACAGGCATGCAGTTGAGGATCAAGAAGATGGATGTGACAGTGCAGATACCCTGGGGTACTACCAATCAGCTCTGCCGCGGGCTCGGGGAAAACCCATCAGAAAGAGGCTGCGTCTGGAAGAGTAATGATCCAGCGTGCCCCAGACTTCGTGCGAGATGATGTGTCCCTCTTCAGATAATCGATGGACATCTTCTGCCATACCATTTCAGATGTAGACCAGAATTTGTTGGACCGCCATGCCGAAAGTGGCTGCTGCCAACGTGGTGAGTGGGGCAAAGACCTGGCGTGGGCTGGGGAGTCCCTTGGTAAGGCATAGCAGGCCTGTTCCTGGCAGTGGTGTGCTTCAGCTAAACTGACTCCTTGCATCCCTCTCGTCGTCCCACGTATGGAGTAAGAAAACCACGTAGCTCATGGTTGTCATGAAGAATTACCCTTAAGAATGGGATAAAAATCGAGGGACGTCTGGGTTCCTCCTCTAGCTTTGTTCTTTCCGTGGTACTGAGCAATTTGGTCTTCCTTTATGCTTTCCTCAAAATAAAACTACCCTGACAGCGAGGGTGTGGATATGAAGTAATGATACCTGAAAATAAGAGGAGGCATTCCTTTGGCCCTTTACCAGTAATAAAATTTTTATTTTGACACTTGCTTTATTAAATTTAAATAATTCAGTCTTTTGAAAGTAAGTGCTTTGTTTCCTCATCAGTCGATCACTCAGCCAGATTCTACAGGGGACCCAAACAACATGACTCTATTGGCGGAAGAGGCTCGAAGGCTCGCTGAACGGTAAGCTCAGACCCTGGCTGCATGGCTAAGTTGCAGCCTCCCTTGTGATGAGTGTGCACGGTCCTGTCCCATCCCCACAGACCCTTCCCACCTAACCCATTTTCTGTTTCACCTGTCTTCTGAAATGTTATCAGCTCTATGTACTCTCTTCTGTTACTTTGAAATTAGAATATTCACTTCAGATACGGCAATACAGCAGTTTGTAGGAGAGTCAGACATCTCAAAGAAAACCGTAACTTTTTAAAAAAGAATTGTTTACTTAATTTTATGTTATTGTTGTGATTTTTTTTTTTTTTCATTTGACCAGAGAGAAAGAGAGAGAGAGATAAAGTGAGAAAGCAAGTTGCTAGGTCCAGGGCCAGAACCAAGTGAGAAAGCAAGTTGCTAGGTCCAGGACCAGGACCAATGAGCCATGTGGGAGTCCAGCGCTTCAACCACCACACCACCTGCTGGCCCCAACCATGACCTTTTAAGAATTGTTTAATAGAAGGCACATGCACACATACGAGAAAGGGGGGGGGAATTATCCTCAGCAGGTTTTTATCATGCTGTAACCCCTTTTCCCTAGCCCTCCTGCTCTTCAGGGCCCTGGGTGCCCATGTGTTTTCCAGGCCAACCTGGAAGTCAACCACGGTTGTCATGTGGCTTCCAGCGCTGTGGGGCACTAGCGTTATTATTACTGCACCACAGTGGCTGGGTCCATTTTTAGGGTTTTAACTTCTAAGCTTTAAAATGAATACATGTTAAAGAAGCTTAGTAGAATTAAATGATTAATTTTTAGAGTTTGTTCAAATGAATTTTTAATGAAAATGTTTGATTTTCAAATCTCAGTAGAAAACATTTACTAACCCATAGTACACTTGAAAAACAGCCAAAGAAAAATAGGCTATTTTCATTCCTGATATTTTACAGACCTTTTTATTTATTTATTTTTTAAAGTAAGGTAATTTATTTAGAAGACTTAAGACTTTAATTACTGGGGTAAGGCATAGTCATGCCACAATCCATCTTCTCCATTTTTCCCTCCTTTCAGCATTTTGGGCTTGCTGGAATTCAAACCATGGTCAGCCATATGGGGTCTGACTCTCTTAATCACTAGGCCACAGGGCTGGTCCCATTTTTTTAAGCCATTTATTTTATTTATGATAGAGAGCATGTGTGCATGAACAAGAGGGATGAGGAAACCCTGGACAAGGTCTCGGTTGCATTGTGATCTCCTTGCACCAGCCCTCCAGCTCATCATGATTTTGGGCATGCATGCACATGCCCATTGTGTTTTGTTTTTTATTTTTGTTTGTTTGTTTTAGGTTTTTGCCATAAGGCACATATACTTGTGGGAGAGAGAGAGAAAAAAAGTAAGAAATCACCCTCCAGGGGAGATGGCAACACCACAGTCCCTTCTCTTCTATTCTCCTCTTGGGATTTTGGGCATGCAAGAGCACATGTCCAGCATTTTTCTTCTTTTTTTTTTTAAGAGAGAGTTTTGCGATAGGGCTTGTGTGCTTGCTGGAGAGACAGAGAGAGGCAGAAAGTGAGAAATAACCCCCAGGAGATATGGCCATGCTGCAATCCCCTCCCCCTCATTCTCTCTGAATTTTGGGAATGCACACACATCGCACATGCACCTGGTGTGAGTTTAAGCCTCTGGGTCCAGGATTTGAACCATGGTCAACTACATGGGAGTCTGGCAATGTAACCATTATACCATTTGCTGGTCCCCTCCAGCAAGATTTTCAAGCCACTGGATCCAGGGAGTGAACTGTGGTCGGCCATGTGGGAGTCCAGTGCCTTAACCACTGCACCACTTGCTGACCCCCTGCCCCATGTGTTTTCAGGTTGACCTGGGCATCTACACCGTAGTTGGCCATATGGCTTCCAGCACTGCAATTCAGTTTGCTACAGACTGTGCCACCATGATGGGCTAGCATATAGTTTTATATGTAAATTATTCTTAAAAATTATATATATGTTTAAGTGTAATAATTATATGTAATATGTATAAATTCACTGGGAAAGTCATGATGTATTTTTCTATGTTTTTAATACAAAAATGCATCACGACTTTCTAATAATTATGTAAGATACAATAATTATGTTGAAGAGTAATTTTTCTTGAAGAAATATAAACATCTGCCTCTATCAAATCATTTCTTTTCTTGGAAAATATTTTTCTTTTAATTTATAGAATGCCATCTGTAAACTCAGTCCCACTGAAATAATCATAAAATTCCAAATGACTGAAGTTTTTCCAATATTTGTAGAACTCTACCAACATTAAGCTCTGTATACATAATAGAATATGCATTACCAAATTTACATCATTCGCTAGCTGATGTCTCTGTTGCATGGCTTATTTTTTCCTTTCATCTGTACAGCCATAAACAAGAAGCTGATGACATTGTACGAGTGGCAAAGACAGCCAATGATACTTCCACTGAGGCATATAATCTGCTTGTGAGGACACTGGCGGGAGAAAATCAAACAGCATTTGAAATTGAAGAGCTTAATAGGAAGTGAGTATAATTTAAAAGTAGCTTACAGCCCTCCAAGTGTTCTTGTAAGTAAAGCCAGTTTAATGAGGAATTAAGTGTTGGTGGACTCAGGGCAGGCACTCATGCAAGAGTTTCTCTTGTTAATCATGGTTTTGAAACGCACAGTAGTCGGAGCAAGGGGAGGTTCGAGCCAGGGATTTTATTTGATCCAATTACGGTAACTGCCGAGAATGGTAACAAGACTAGCCTTGATACTGGGAAGTCTGTGTAGGGGAAGACAGAGGAAGAAACAAAATGTGGAGAACATTGGAAGAGTCTTGAGAAAGTTTATAAAAAGTACATATTATCAGAAAACTATGCATGGATTTCAATGTTTTTGCACCAGTATAAACTTGTGCTTTAATTCCATCTTCCCATAATCTTTTTGAAGTCCCCTTATATACAGATTTTTAATCGCTGTCTGAAATAAGAAAATATTTGGTACCCCATAGCTGCAAGTAGAAGTGATGATGCAGTGTAGGTCTGGGTGAAATGTTAGTATTAAAGCGAGAGCCTTTTAATGAAGCATTTCCCTTAAGGTTTGAGACTGTTGTCATCATGGTGTAAACGACATCGAAACTGGTTAACACAGAGGATGTTAAAAGCGTCTACATTTTTTATTAAATCGCATCAATTGCTCTGCAGGTATGAGCAAGTGAAGAACATCTCGCAGGATCTGGAGGAGCAAGCAGCCCGCGTCCATCAGGAGGCCACGAGGGCTGGGGACAAAGCCGTGGAGATCTACGCCAGTGTGACTCAGCTGACCCCTGTGGATTCAGAGGCACTGGAGGTAGGGGCAGGGGGACAGCTACACCTCAGGCCCTATCTATCACTGCCGCACACACACCCCCCACAGCTGCAGAAGGGGCCCTCTGCACCTCCCTTCTCTGCCCTCCAGCTGACTCTGGCAAAACTGAGCTCTAGTCTACATAGGCCTGTAGAACTACTGTGGTAAAGAATCCTGGGAACACAACGCTGGGTGTGTGTGCATGTGTGCCCAACATCCTAAGAGGACAATGGAGGAGAAAGGATTGTGGCGTGGCCATCCCCCCCGAGATGTGATTTCTCACTTTCTGTCTCTCTGGTGAGCGTGCACACCCTATAGCAAAAATCTCTCTCTAAAAAAAAGAATTCTGGAACCACAGACATTAAATAGCAATAGAAACCATCACTCCACAGTCTTTATAATGTGGTTGACTCACTTAAAGCAGAGTACACTTGATCTCTATTGCTAGGCACGCTCTGGTAGAAAGTTTAAATGGAAGGAAGAGCTACATGCAGATGCTCTGGGACAGGTAAAATATTGGGGGTTCGTAGGATTTTTATTTTGTGATTGTATTCTAATCGTGAATCCTCCTACTAGGCTCTGTATTAACAGTGTATTTTTTATGTTAAACTTGAAATTTGTTAAGTTTTTTCTTTTCTTTTCTTTTTTAAGAGAGGTTTTTGCTATAGGGCGTGTGCGCTCGCCAGAAAGACAGAGGGGGGATGGCCATACCACAGTCCCTTCTCCTCCATTCTCTTCCCAGGACCTTGGGCACGCACACACACACGCTCCCAGCGTGAGGTTAAGCCATCAGGTCCGGGACTCAAACCATGGTCAACTACGTGGGAGTCCAGCGACATAGCCATTACGCTAACTGCTGGTCCCTGCTAAATTTCATTTTTTTATGTTGAAATTGCTGATTTGGTTTTGACCATGAAGGTTTAGGTCTCTGTGACATGTACATCTTGTCTCACTGCACACACGTGAGACTGAAAATAGGCCAGGCTGATCTGCAGTGCTACAAACCAAAACAGCAGCAGCTGGAGTGTGGGAAAGGTGGGGTGGAGACTGAGTGGAAAGAAGCTCGGGGAACTTGTTGGTGATGCACATTTTCTGTATCTTGATTGGGGTGTTAGTAATACAGGTAAATATGTCAAAGCTCCTCAAACTACACGCAAATGGTATGGATTTCACAGTATAGAGTATACCTCAATTTTTTTAAGAATTATTTTTTATTAATTTTATTCGTTGTCTTTTTTTTTTTTTTTTTTTTTTTTTTTTGAGGTTGACCAGACAGAGACAGAGAGAGAGAGAAGCAAAGTGGGAAAACAAGCTGCCAGGTCCGGGGCTCAAACTGTAGTCAGCCATGTGGAAGTTCAGCCACCTTAACCACCAACACCACCTGCCAGCCCCACGTATACCTCAGTTTTTAAAAATCATTTAAAGAAATGTTTATAAAATCTTGACCCATGTTCTGCTAAAAATGTCTATTAAGTATGACAGAGTTCCTAAGCCTACCTTTTCATCAACTGTATTTTTTTTTATCTAAATTGTAATGATTTAAACTTGCATTTCACAGAGAGAAGCAAATAAAATAAAGAAGGAAGCTGAAGATCTGGACCGTCTGATTGACCAAAAGTTGAAAGATTATGAGGACCTCAGAGAAGATATGAGCGGAAAGGAGCTTGAAGTAAAGAAACTTCTGGAGAAAGGAAAAACTGAACAGCAGGTGAGTTTGATTTGCAGAATGCTTCATTTCTTTTTTTTTTTTTTAATTTTATTTATTATTATTACTATTTTAAATTTGCTATGGACACATGTGCTCACCAGAAAGAGAGACAGAAAGACAGAGAGAAAGAGTGAGAAAGCAAGCTGCCAGGTCTGGGACTCAAATTGCAGTGTGCCATGTGGGAGTCCAGCACCTTAACCACCACTCTACCTGCTGCCCCCAGGTTGCCTCATTTCTTGAGGCAGCATTGAGAACAGTTGGGAGTCAAGTCTGTGAGGTTACCACAGCTGCAGTTGCTGCACACACACATGTTCAAGGAGGGCCTTCCACATGGGCCCAACGTGCAATGTGCTGGAGAGTCATGGGTGGTAGCTTCAAGGGGCCTTGCCTGGCGGGAGAGAAGGGCTTGACTCAGGAGGGCTCATCCTGACCTGCTGTGTGTTTGCAGACTGCCGACCAACTCCTTGCCCGAGCTGATGCTGCCAAGGCTCTTGCTGAGGAAGCCGCGAAAAGGGGACGAAATACCTTACAGGAAGCCAATGACATTCTCAACAACCTGAAAGGTATGACAGGAAAAAACAGGGATGTATTTGTTTGCTTTCTCCCCTAGGGCAATTGTTGCTTGCTTATTTACTTGCTGGCTTGCTTTTTAAATTTCTACATAAGAATCTCTGAACATGCTCATAATGAAAGATAATAGTGTCACAAATCCCATTTACCTATCATCTAGATACAACAGTTATGATTTTATTGTAGTTACAAATCCCTCAAAACCTTACTTTTTTTTTTTTTTTTTTTTTTTTTTTTTTTTTTTTAGGTTTTTGCTATGGGAGCATGCGCTCGCCAGAGGGAGGCAGAGAAAAGGGAACATGGCCCATGCCGCGGTCCCTTCTCCTCCATTCTCTTCTCACGATTTTGGGCATTCATGTACATGCGCCTGGTGTGATTTTCAACCTACCAGGTGTAAAACTCAAACCATCATGCCTTAACCACCATGCTACCTGCTGGCCCAATACTTCACTTTTGTTATGTTAAAGTATTTTAAAGAAAATCCAGTGCTCATTAATTTTAACTACATACTACAGTAGGAAAACCAGAAAAAAGGAAGAAAAATGAAAGGAGGCCATTTTCTTTTTTTTTTAGAGGTTTTTGCTATAGGGCGCATATGTTCACGAGACAGACAGAAAGAGACAGAGAGACAGAAAGTAAGAAATCACCCCTGCAGGGGAGATGACCACGCCACAGTCCCTTCTCCTCCATTCTCCTCTCGGGATTTTGGGCACGCACGCATACGCACCCGGCATGAATTTAAGCCACCAGGGACTCAAAACACGATCGGCTACATGGGAGTTCAGTGACATAGCCATTATGTCATCTGCTGGTCCTCAGCAGCAGACTTTTCAAATAACTGAAGAAGCACAATTACTTGTGGAGTGTTTGATTATTATTTTTTTTTTTTTTTTAAATTTGACCAGAGAGAGACAGAGAGAGAAAGTGAGAAAGTAAGCCACCAGGTCTGAGACTGGAACCGTGGTTGGCTATGGGGGAGTCCAACACCCAACCACTATGCCACCTGCCAGCCCCCAAGGGCATTTTCTCATGTTAGAATAACTTCAGTAATAAAGATATACCTACTTAGCTGACTTATGCTGACTGAGTTGTCATCTTTCATTTTCTTGCCAGTGGCATCTAGTCCTTTCTTTTTTCTTTCTTCTCCCAAGATAGAAAAAAAATTGTGCCCAATTTACTGAATAGCCCTGGACTCCCCTCAGATAAAATATTCACAGGTTCTAAAAAATGGAAGCTTTGCAGGACCAGCAGTTAGTGTAATGGCTATGTTGCTGGACTCCCATGTAGTTGACCGCAGTTTGAGTCCCAGACCTGGTGGCTTAAACTGATGCCAGGCATATGTGCGTGTGTGCCCAAGATCCCGAGAGGAGAATGGGGGAGAAGGGATTGCAGCATGGCCATCCCCTTTGGGGG